AGAGCGTCTTTCTTTTAGGTCAATGCAACGTGCTGTTTTAAAATCAGCAGCCACCATGGAAATGCAGATGAGGTCTCAATGTTTTAACCTCAGACTCAAAAAAGGATGGTTCATAATGAGTAGCTAAAGTGGAATGATCAGATCGGTGCTTGCATTTAATTTTGGAGATATGATTTGCCTCTGGAGCCAAGTATATATTCGTAGCTGGCAATGAGTATGGCAGCTGTTTGACTATACAAAACAAGACTACAGAATCATTTTTAGGCTAGAAATTGAAGACTTGCCAATGAATATATTTCTATACCACAGAGACATGATTTTTAGACTAAAAAAAGTCAGGTACTTGTTATCTTCCATTTATAGATCCTATTTCAAATTTTATGTACAGGTCATAAAAGAGAATTGGGTCTGCAGTAGAATGAGAAGTAATTTTATTAGTTTCCTTAGATAATGAAACCCATCTGTTATGTACCAAAAATTAGATAACACTCATGTAAGAGCTTATTGGTCTCATCATCCTACCTGAACTCCGTGGTCTTGTGGTTCCATTGAGGGATGGCTGCTGCTATTGAAGGGTCAGCATTTGACTGTGTTTTAAATAAATAATTTAGGATTTTTTCATCTCAGTGTGTGCACTTCCATAAACTGTAAACACAAAGGTAACAGCTAGTTTTTCAACTTTACTTTTCTCCTTTTCCCATTTTTAGTAGCCAACTATGGACCATAATTTCCATATATATAATAACTATGAACCATATTTTCCATATATATACTCTTATGATACAGAAAACCAGCCTCATGTTAAGTGAGAAAAGAATTTCAGTCTTTGTTTTGTTATTTCAAAAACAAATCTAGAAACCCAATTCCAAGCAAAGTGGAATTTTCTATGGGTTTAAACAACAAAAATAGCCCAGCATCTGTTGTTTTTTCTGTACTGAGGGATGATTTATGTGTTGGCTACAAAATTCTATTTCAGAATTCTTATAAAATAGTACCAGCACCATAGCATTTAACTGTGCACATACTGTAATTTCTATTCAATTAATAATAGTTGAATTCAATATCTTCCAAAGTTTACAAACTATGGTTTTTTAATGCTGCCATGTGATGAATATGAAGCCAAATTCCCATTTCTGAAGAGGCCTCTTACATAATTCAGGGACTGTAAAAATACTTTTAATGTTTGTAGATGTAATTTCTGTCTGTTTTCAACCAGAACAGCATAAAAAGTAACTCCATGTAAATGAGAAACAGCCTGAGTTTTCCAAATAACAGTTTCAGAAATAAATGAAAACCATTTACTTTAAGGTTTTGTAAGGTAGTTTAGTTACACTAATAACAACAATTTGTCTGCTCTTGGATCATTTAATCTGAATTGATACTAAGTTTAAAGATTAAAAGTGAGGTACGATCCTCAGGATTTAAGAATTAGATCCCACAGAATAAGTGTTCTGACTCCCATCCAGAAAGACCAATGAGAGCGATTTGAACTTCAGGCGTGTTGGTAATCTCTGCATTTCAGTGGATCTTTTACATGCTTAAAATTAAGCAAGTTCTGTGTCAGGGTCAGCACACTTGGCAGCTTCTGGAAATGAGCTTTAGATATCTTTTATATCCTGACAAAAGTGCATGCCTCTTCAATTAAAAATATACCTTAGCTTTTAACAGTAAATGTCATTATTTAGTTGTATCGCTGTGTATTAGAGAGGTAGCTTAAATAATTGAAAGCTTTCACACTACTTCAACTGCTTGCTCTGTTAGAGCTGATGAGCCTGCTTGTAGACAGTGACTTCTGATGTGATCAGACAGCACTAATTACAGAGCTGCTGTTAAGCCAGTGTTTGTGATTTCCGTTATTTTTAGCTTTAAAATGCTCAGTTATCCTTCATAAGCCGTTTGGGTCAATAGCATAAGTTTTTCAGAGTCCTCTGTATGAAAAGCCCCTTTCTGCAATTGGACTGTGACCTTTCTTTGAGTTAGTGCATCAAATAACTCATTGATTATAACAGAACGAACCACAGCAGCTTCAGTGCTGGTTTTCTTCTTTCTGTAAGTAGAAGATAAGGTTGTGTACGTGTTACACCAACATCGTGTAATTATAGTGCAGTTTCACAGGAGGCTTTGGGAGATATCCAAGGGACCCATAGCATCAGGCTCAGCACAGACAAGCAAAGCAACCCTTCTCTGCTTTCATCTATGAGCTAAAAACCCATTTTTCAGTTGCCCTGACAGGAATCTTATCAACAGATCTGTTTCCTTCCTTACATTGTAACTTACATAATAATGATTCACACATAAAAAGACCAAATGTATGAAACAACTTCGTATGGATAATGCTCCATTTGCATTGCATCACTCATTGACTTGTGCTGGTACTGATGAGAGGGGAAACGCGTTCCATGGAAATGCCGTGCTGGTTGAAGGGAAAATGATTGAATTCAACTTTGTGCATATCAGCTTTTTCCCTCCTTCTAAATAGTAACTAAAAATGAAAAGTAAAAAATAGAGTTAGCTGGAGGCTTAAGGAGAGCTGTTTCATTGAGGAGCACTTTCAAAGGAGCCTTTGCAATAATAGAGCGATCTCTTGGCCAGAAGCATCCCGGTGATTTGAATTCCCTTAAGAACAGAGGGCTTATCTGTCCGTGTATGCACAAAAGGACTTAAATCACCAAGTAAATAGTGAATCAGAAGGCAGTTTAGTTAGCACTGCACACACACACACAGAGTCCAATTCTGCCTGCTGTGGAGGTATGCTGGTTTCTGAGTTGTCCTTGTGGAAGACTGGAGGAGGTGTAACTGCAGCAATTCTGAGTATCCCAAAGCAGAAGACTTAATTTAACTTAATGACCATCTACAAACCTCACTGTGAAGCAGCCACCAGAATATTTAGCAGTGCTGCCACGTCTTAAATAAAGCTTTTTATTTTTTTATTTTTTTTTACAAGCATGGACCTAAAAATCCTTTAACTTTTAAGCAGTTTAAATGTGTGGTTCCAAATTAAGAAAGCTTGAATCTAGATCCAAGCTAACAGGTTTGCCTGTTTTTCTGTAAGGAGTCACATATGTTTCCAAATCCAAATGTACATATTACACTGAATACAGAATTTTCTATTTCTGTATCAAGAATGTGCAACCCTGCAGGTAAGAGGAGTTGTATATTTTGTAAAGTCATTTCCTCATGACTTTACCGTCAATGAATATGTATCACCAGCCATGGTGTATTCCCCATATAGACATATATATTTATCTGAATGACAGGAAAGAATAAAACTGAGCTGTGCTGAAGCCTGAGGGCCTCAAGTGAATCATTCACTGAAATGAAGCATTTACTGTAGATGTGAGCTATTGAGCACAATGTTCTTTGCCACTATATTCAAGTTCTCAGAATTAACAGTGTTTCATTTCTTGTTTATAACAAAGCAGTTGGGAGTTGGACAAATGGAATAAACTTCTAAAGTTACCTCCAAACAGAAAGATCTCATGCAGCTGCTGCAGGGTTCTTCTGCAGTCGCTGTCTTTTCTGATGTCAGCACAGCTGCACTGTTGTACGTCCACTTCAGTACAGGGCACAGCAGAAACAGATGAACATTTCCTTCTTACTAACTTCAGTTGTGAGCTTACATCAGGGCTGGCTGGATTAGCATATTTTAGCACCTCAGAACTGCCCCGGTATTTCCAATTCTGAAGTATTTAGCTGGCTCTTCCAGAAAATACATTTTAATGGCAAATCCAAAAAGAGAAAAAAAAAGTCTTTAAAAAATAACTCTGTATAGTAGCAACTTGACATCAACAAATCTTTCCAAAGCCCCAGCTATATAAGCTGAAATCCAAAACCTAGCAACTACAGCTGATGGCGAAATGCCAGATCACATGTATTAAAACCATGAAGGATTGGTTCTGAAATTCAAGATCAAACAAAATGGTCTTCAGCTTAAAGGGGAAAAAAAGAATTGACTGCACTTCAAAAGCACGGTGGTGGAATATATTGCAGTAGGAGTCTGAAAAAACAAATCCATGCGTCAAAAGGAAGGAAGGAAGGGGTTTCTGGGCCATCTGAGCACCTTCCAGTAAGAGCATGGGATGCACGGCATAAGCTCAATGCACTTTCACCTCTGCAGAGCATATTCAGCTTGGGGATCTTTTTCCCTGCTAAAATGGCCTTAAAACCAGCAAGTAATTTTCGAGACAGAGCAGTGACAAGGTTAGCGAGATGTTCCCTGCAGGCTTCTGACAAAGGAGGTGCTGCCAGCTGCAGAATAGCATGGGATCTTCAAATCACGCCTGATACCATGGCAAAGCGAAAGGAAAGCATGCACAGTCAGGTTTGGAAGTTTTCTGTAAACAACGGGTGTCTTTTATTATTTAACTTTAAGTAAAAAATAACATTTCAGAATTAAATCTGTAAAGGCACTGCGACAGGCCAGTGCCATACTGTCAACACGTTGGTGTTTGCCTGCTGGAAAGGGTGTTTCAGTTCTGCATCTGATGCCCGTGACGTCTGCAGTCCATGAGGAAGGTTAAGTAAATAAATGGTAAATGCTAAATAATGGACTCTCTAACAGCGAGCGTGCTGAGCCGGGAGCCACCAGATGTGGCCTAAGTAGGAAACACTGGGAGAGTGCGATGTTTGAAACCATAGCCATCGCACTGTGGCTTTTATTTTATTTTATGGTAATTTTACGTTTTATTCTCTAATAAGCCCAGCTCATGGGTAATGATGTTTCTGCTCTGTTAGCAGAAGTGCTATTTTTAAATCACTCTGCACCTGGCAATAATGTATTGCAAATACAGAGTAGGTTTTGCTCCTCTTTAGCAAAAGGATTTGCCAGATGGGCTTTCCTAATAAATTGTGTCTGATAAAAGGACGAGAAGGTTATTTAAACAAAAAAGATTTTAGCTGTGCCATTACATTTAAAACAGATTGAGGATTTTGCCGGTAGATAAACTAAGGGGGAAGCAATGAATAGATGCAGTATTTTTTGGATGAGGGCTTCTCCAGAAAGGAAGGCATGGGTGGTGAAAAGCAAAAATCAAGCGTACACAAAATTAATGATCTAAATAATAACATGAAAATGGGGACAGAGCAAAGAGCAGCTTTGTCCAGTTTCCAGTCAGTGACAGAAGTTTCAAACTCACGTGTGCCGCAATTCCTGCCCAGAGCGTACGCGGCTTCGCTGCGGCCTGGTGCCTCTGGTACTGGTTTTGCAAATTGCCAAGCCCTTCCCAGGAACGGGACCGAACAGCCATGATCTGGTACAGGCTCAGTGCTTCTTCCTGGGACCTGCAGGGATGTGAGGATGGGGTCTGATTTGTTCTGTCTGACTGACCTAACCAGTGGGCTGTGGCATGGAAAGCAGCAGGAGAAGTAGTGCTGTGCACCAATATTATTTCTACTTGCATTTCGTAGACATTTAATCATCCTTGCTTCATTTTTTTTTTCAGAAGGGCCTTATATGCCTAATTGCAGAAAGAATTCCAGGCTGTGAAACTTAATCTGACAATCTGAAGCCATGAGTTAGGTGTATAAAATTATCCTGGACTGTGGCTTTCATGTCTAAGTTCTCATTGATTTCAGTGGGCTTTGGATCAGACATTGAAGAGTGAAATATTACCAGTGTGATATTGGCTGTGGTCAATGGCAGAGGACTAGGAAAGGTGTAAATATATGCAAAACATAGAGATAAATATAAAGATTCTTCTCCTAAACACTTCCTCTCATGAACCATAGCACAAGCAATTGCTGAGCCAGAATTTACACCTTTCTAAAATAGTCCAAGACTTTTTTAAACATCTAATTTTTTTAGCATCCACGTAAAAAGCCCAGTGATGTCAGCTTTGCTGATGGTAACGACTCACCTCTGTGAAACACTCATGCCCTGTGAATTGGTGGCCTAGAGATTAAACTCTCAAGTTCACTTTGCTTGATGTTGCTGTGTATCTTCCGTCCCACTGCTCTGCTGATACGCAGTCTTTGAGTTATAGCTCACCTGAGCAAGCACTCTGTAAAATCTTTACTATTTTGATCTTTCATGCAGCAGGCTGGAAATCTGTTCCTCTGAATTCTTTCTTCGTCCTGGCTCCCATTCATCACTCTACAGTTTTATCAGACCAATATGTTAGTATTTTCAGAAAGGCTGGAATTTCCATAAAAGCTATTAGATATAAGTTGTCCAAACTGTCCGTCATTGCCTGGCTCTTCGCTTGAAACTGCCCAGCCAATTTGTGAGTAAGCATCATGTCCTGCAAGAGAAATGGACATGATTAAGGGATGATTAAGCAGAAGTGCCATCTCTGAACACTGTTAAAGGAATTTGCAGCTAGGAGTGATGTCATGGGTGAATTGCGTTGCAGTAGATGGATTATTTGTGGGTCGACAAATTAAGAACAATTTCCACTATGAATCCCCTTGTCTGCTGGGTTCACTTCACCCAACCCAACCCAACCCAACCACTGTTTTCACAGCCTCCAGACGGTTCTTGAATGAGACACAAGTTTTATGCCTGACTGAGCAATCACGTGGGGTAGCTGTTCATTATTTAATTATTATTTATAAATTCTGAGTACTTGATACTGACTCAAATTCATTCCATTAAATCCCTTTGGACTGCATTGAAGTTATTCCATTATAGATAAGTGCGTATCTGAAATGCTTAATCAAGACAATGGCTCCATCACACTCACACCGTATGTCTATGTAAGAAAACTGTTTTCCTTTGATTTTCCTTTTTAGAAATACTTTTACACTGGAATATTTTTGCAGGAATGTTTGAAATCGTATTTCCTGTAATTACTTCTTTATTCATAGAACCAGCTACTAGAATTTTACATCTTTCTCAATATTATGTCTTAGTTCTTCCCTTTTTACTTTTTATTGTTGCTGTTATTATTATATTGATTGCTTCAGGTAATGATCAGTTATAAAACAGCTCCTTCAACCAGAAAATCTCTAGATCAATCTGAGGTCAAAGCTTTATTGGGTGAGAAGATTGGCAACAGCACGTGACTGAGTTGTGACATACAGCGGTGTGTTGCTCTGATCTATGACGATGTGGAATTGGTTTTTATGGGGATTTAACATTGAAACCTTATTATTAAAGTTTCGATTTAGAAAAGAATATGTCAGCAGTAAAAGCGATGACTTTCACAGAGGAGGAAGACTGTCACCTCGTTAGAGCTTTGTAAAGCAGCTTTTAATGACAGAGCTTCAGTTTATGGATAAAATCGGAAGCCAAGTCAGGAGATAACTAAACATGGGGAAAACAAAGAATGCTGAGTGATATATAAGCTCACTCTGAATAAAAGAAAATGAAGATCAGAGTAGTCTTATCAGTTTTTTGTCAGTTTTTCTCCTTATTGTCTTCCATGTGGCGCATTATTTAAGCCCATACGTAAATACACGTTGAACTGCTTTTATAACAAAGGATGGATTTAAAAGCTCTTTATTCCTGAAGACAGATTTTAAAAGCTCCACTATGAATCCACTGAAATTACACTGTTTTCAAGTTTTGAAAATCAATGCTTAACTGGAAGTTATTTCTGTTTACAAGCTATAATTAGTAGGATTGGACATAAAGTGAAATGGAATTATACCAATACAGAAAATAACACTTTGATACATGAAACTGCATCTTGTACAGATAAAAGTAAACTTGAAAGATGAACCAATCTCTTTACTGGTATTTTTTAGTCCTCCTGTTGTAATTTCAACATAAATTTATTTGGTTTTCCAGTTCATAAAAGAGAGATAGAGTTGAAATTAGTCCGTGTTTTGTCCATAACTCGGCTGTTACCAGAGAAGGCCAAACTGGAGGATTTTCATAGCTGCCCACATGGCTATAAAAGTTCACTTAGAATTGAAAATGGCATTGTCAGGGTCACACCAGTGTCGCTGTGTCAAAGCTCAAATTGGACAGGATTTTATGAAGATAGGCATGGGCAGAAGGTACTGGTTAGTGACACTCAGGGAGCAGTGGAAAAGCACGCTCTGGACAAGCAACGTTTTTATTTTTTCCCAAGGCCATAAATAACACTTGGAGTGCATTGTATTATAATGACTTGCAATAACATATTTTCCTGTAGCAGAAAATGTCCTAGATGATATGATTGTCAAAGCATCTCCCAGAATATGCTGCCATCGACTCACTGGCTGTTGGATACAAGACAGGATTGGATTTTAGTGTATCTTGGTGCTTATTTCAGTCAATTCCATATTACTTTTTCATTATGTTTATTAGCATGTTTTCATATTTTATGTTTTATCAAAACATTTACTTTAGCAAACTGATAAACAGGACTTCCTCTCCTGCATTTCCCAATATTTTTCCTTTGTTTTGCAGGATCCTAAATATTTCAAGTCACAGAAGACGGGGAGAGGCCAACTAAAAGAAGGCTGGAGAGAGACCCATCAGCCAATTATGTGCTCCTACAAACTCGTGACGGTGAAATTTGAAGTCTGGGGACTTCAAACCAGAGTAGAGCAGTTTGTACACAAGGTCAGTGAAACAGGAGCTGTTTCTTACCCTTCCCATCAGCAGAATTGAGCACTACCCTGCACAGGAAGGTAACCGTGGCTGTGTAGAAGCGAGGGAGCTCAGCCGAATCTGGTTTGCAGACCCCTCTCAAGGTCTGAAAGATCTGAAGCAGAGCCAAGAAGTTCATCTCTGGGCTTAAACTTGACAGAGCCCAGAGCTGCTCAGGTCTAAGGTTGAGAAAAGCTGTCAGTAACATTTTCAATGCTGTGATAAATATATGAGCTGAAGTATTTATAAGTATACGTGACGATCGTACATGTAGCGATGATGTGCAGAATTTCTTAAAAACAGGTAACGGGAATGATTACCAATCAGTCTGCTAAAAAGTTAATAATATAACTGGCATAACAGCCAAATTATAATATTTTTCGGAGTGTTGACCTTCCACTTGTTTAAAAAGCCAGCAAGGAAAAAGCAGCGATCCAGTCTAATTGCCCAAAGATTGATGAATTCTGCACACATCCCCAGATGGCATCCCTTGCCAGTCAAAGCCATGCTGATGCGATCCAGCATTGGCAACAGATCCACCTCGACTGGGAGGTTGGACTCCAAGACCTTCAGAGTCAGTAGGGCTGGTTTTCGAGGGCGTAGAGACAAAACTGATGGAATATTTTTCACTTTTAAGTCTTGTGGAAAGCCAACAATTTTACTTTTCTCAAATGTTTTGCTGCTGCAGAGGTATTTAACCTTTTCCTTGCTTCGCAGGTGGTCAGAGATATACTGTTGATCGGGCACCGGCAGGCTTTTGCCTGGGTTGATGAGTGGTACGGTAAGTATTCTCCAAATTTCACCTATTTAAAGGGGCTGCTGCAAAGCTTATGACAATGAACAACAGATTTCCACTTGCTTTCATGGACCACCAGGTCCTGGTGTAAGTTGGTCAGGAGAGAGAGGGAACCATGTGCAGTTCCTCTGAACTGTGCTCAGTCTCGTCCCCCTGCATTGCAGGCAGATAGGAGCTGCCCCTGCCAAGAGCCGTCTCTGTGGAGAGCCGCATGCAGGTTTGAATAAAGCTTCTTATTAAGACTGCATTAACACGCAGTCATTTCCATACTGCAAACTCCTTGGGCCTCTGATCCAACACAGTTTCAGCTTTTTAGGGAAGTTTTAAACTGCTCATATGGACTGCAGTAAAGAAAAGATGGAGCTTTAACATCCTTTCTGAAAAATGGATATAAATGTAAAGCCTGCTGGGTCTGATTCAACAGCAGCTGCATGCAAAAACTGTTCTGAATCCGTGAACCAGCTGTAGGAATGGGCACTTCCAATAGCACCAAGCAATCTGAATATCAAAACAGCCAATTACATTTTATAAAATAAGCTCACAGGGTTTGTGCTTTTTAGATGTATTTTCAGTGAGATGTATCCATAATCACAGATACTTGTAGAGCAGTTTCTGAGACATTCCGGTAACATATAATAGGAATTTGGGAATATATTTTGAGTGTTTATTAAGACTCTCCTTAAGCTTCAGGAAGCACCATTTGAGGCACTTCATGGCTCAGAATGACACCTGTCCTTCCTCAAAACTCAGAGACATTCTGCACTGCTTAAAAATAGTCAAATAGGTGCAAACACCCATCTCCAGTGGCTTCATAAACCTGAGTAATCTACACTGGAATCTAACAACAAACTCATTGCGTTGTCTTTTGGAAAATATAGAAAAAAATTATCTTGAAATCACAATGTTCTTGTAAATTTAATACTGCATGAAAACCTTGTGCTGTAGTGATCATGAAAATACTGACATCTACTAAAAATACCTTCTATTTTGGGATAGCCAGAAAGTAGTAAGATTGCTTTGTATCCAGTGAGAAAGAGTTCTTAAGATATATTAAATTTTTATATATATAGTTGGGTTTTTTCATTTTTTTACCTGAAATACAATGATCCATTCTCTCCCCTGTACAAAGTCAGGGAATGTCTGCAAATAAAGAAGCCTGACTTCATGTAAAAATTGAGCTCGCAAATTTGCCCCAAGTCTGCACAAAATACCTCTTAAAGTGAGACATAAATGTTACTGGGAAGCAAAAAGCCATCTGCACTTTAGTGGAGTTATTGATAATGGTAACAAACGAGTAATCATGAAGTAAAACACATGGAAAAGGTTTAGCCCAGAACCATTTCACCACAGATTTTCCCACCTTAACTTTGAATGTACCCTGTCAAAAATGAATGTCTTTCCACAAATGAAATACCGTGATACACGATTATCTTGTGGATTTTTGCTGTCACACGGAGTCTTTTTACTAAATAATATCATGTCCTTTTAGAACTTAATTGTCAGGCTAAGTACGAAACCTAAAAAATTGGGGCTTACTAAAATAGATGTGAATAAAGGCTAAGTATATTGCAAGGGTTATTTTTTGAAAAAGTGCAGAAAGTTAGTTTAGGTAACTCTGTGCTAAACCGAATCAAATAATCCGTGTAATAAAATCAATTATTAAACAATGTGTTATGTTATGGATATTACTGACTGATTACTGTTACTGATACTGTAAGTATGAGTGTGTCTTGTCAGTAAGTGTACTAAACTGTATTTAGCTTTATTATTAAGGTAATCTATTTTCACCCTGTTATTTACTAATAAAGAGCATGTTCTCTGCTTGGCAAAATGCATCCCTAGCATGTTACTGACATGGCTTCTGAGCTTGTTTTTCATTCCAGATAACAGAAAAAGACTAAAAGAGTCTGAGATAGTGATATTCCATGTTTCCTTTTGATCAAAATGTTAAAGTGCATTTCATTTTCACTGATGAAGTATTACATTGTGGCACTGATTTAACAGCCAAAGTTATATCTTCCCTTAAAAGCTGTCTCGTAAAATGCAGCAAGAGCCTCGTATCACAAGGGGTGGTGTGATACAAGAATTCACAAATCCAAGTGGCACATAGGAAACCTAAGAAAAATGACAGCCTCAGGAACGACAGCACAGTGTACACAAGTGGTACTCAAGTATGCTGTGCTAATAAAACACTATTTGAGTTTTGTGAGTAAAACATGGCTATTTTCATGTGGCTCTGAAGTTACCGAACCGTTGTTAAAGCCAGAATTCTGCCTGCCTTCATGTTTACTTACACCTTACTCTCAAGTAGATTTCTTGAAGGCATGGGAATACTCCGAAGAGTAAGGTCATGAGTCAATGACTTGAATTCTGTGTGTTTTTACTGGAAGTGTGGGTTATGACAAATCTTTTTAAAACCTGTAATAATTGCTCTGAGTTCCATAGCGAGCACCTAACAGAGTATGCACTAGTCTGACAACATCAGGCATGTCCAGACACTGACAAATGATCCCACGGTAGAACTGGCCTGATTTGTAGAATATTTCTATTTCTTGCCTTTCATTAAATCACTCGAGGCTACAAAACTGTGAACGTATTCGCTATTCAGTTACTGGTATAATTGAGTGTTAGTTTCTGGAATCTAAGCTGATGTGTGCTCTAACAGTAAGAATGTTTGCTGGTTATGAGATGTACTATGCAAAGATAACTTAAAATCTTTTTGAAAGTTCCTGGCGTGGTAAGTAAATCTTTATAATATTTCTGTATCTATCCTTTATTCCAAGGGATCTTCTAAAATCTTTTTAGAAGATCTTGGCCTTCGCCAAGGCCTGCACTTCAGTACTTTGTGCCTACCTAATGTTACACAGATACTCCTGAACAATTTCCACTCCTTCCTGTTCTCTGACTCCCTTTGACTTAACCTTCTCACACCTTCCTTGGCTGATCTAACTACCTTTATGAGTTAGTTTTCATAAAGCTAGTTGCTCCATGCTTTTATTTTTAAATTCTTTTTTGGCTTCTGCTGAAAGACGATGTGTTCCTAGAACGTTCTCCTTAGAAAAAGAAAGTTTGCACTGAATCAATGGAAAATGCCAACAATTTTGAACTTTTTACAGATATGACTATGGATGATGTTCGAGAATACGAGAAAAATATGCATGAAAAAACCAACATTAAAGTTTGCAACCAACATTCATCTACTGTGGATGAAATAGAGAGCCATGCCAAAGCAAGAGTATGTCACTTTTTAAAACATATTGCCCGCCCTCACCTATTACACCTGCGCAGATCAGGGAAGAGCAACCAACTGATCTTGCTGACCACTCAGTGGAGTTTTGGGGAGGTTTTGCTTCAGTAGGAACAGAATCTTTCTCCATGAAGTGCAATCCTGCCTTTTGTTTGCGCTGCAGACTGCCACTGATGTAAGAAAGGGTGGGGTTGGGCTCGTCTACAACTCCCTGTCTTCCAGGAAAACACAAGTCTCAACTTTCCTTTGGATGCTCGAAGAGGAAGTTAAATACCAGTTTTACCTTGTGTTATTTGAATAGTTAAAAAACGCAAGAGTTCAGAGTGCTTCAGTCAAAAAGCCAGGAACACGGGGAGTGGAAAATTTCTATGAGACTGATAAAATTGTTTGCTTCACCAGGAAAAAGGAAAAGCTAATGAATTATTCACTGTTTTCAAACTAATTTTAATGTTGTCATTGATTACGTACCAACAAGGTGAGAAGTATTTTCGGAGAAAAGTTTGTGGAGAAGGACAGGTTTCTGTGTAGGTTCTTTGATTCAGATTCTGAAAACTTCATGCTGTATTTAAGTTCCTAATATGAGCCCCTGAAGCAGAGTCCTAAAATTAGAAATTATTACTATCTGCACATAGAAATGATGCAGTGATACTTGCTTTTGAAATGTTATTCCTTTATTTCTACCAAGTGTGCTGTAGTGATGGTTTTACTCATGTAAAGTGTGTGGGGCGAGGCCTGAAGGGTGAAGTCTTGAGGTCTTCGTGTTGTTCTTACTTAGTAAAAATTATCACCAGCCTGCGAAGATGCCATCTGAGTACTAACCAGAAGGGTGATACTTGTGCTTGTAGTGCTGCAGCTCTGTTCACATCAAGGTTACTCCTTAGCTGAGCAGTAAATTGAGAATGAGTTCTGATTTCAGCTCTACACTTCAGGGTTTGGCTTTGAATGAAGTCAGCCATCCTTAGTTCCCACGTGGCAAAATTGCCACTGAGGTCAGAACAGAATTTGTCATTAATGGAAAAAGAAAAGAGTGTGAGCCTTTGTAGCTCAGGATAAGGACTTGTTTTACTTGAGTGTGTGTCTGAACAGAAGTGAATTAAAAGCAAGCGTGAGCTAAAAAGCCAAAGTCAACTGAAGAGACAGTAAGTATTTCATGTCTGAATTTGAAATGAACAGTCTTGAAGGACACCACATAGTAAGACTTTAATCAGCCTGCACTTAAATGGCCAGTAAACTGAGAAATCCTCCTGTCCTCCTTCACTTTCATTTATCCAGGACAACTTTTGTTTCATGTGGTATAGAAGTCCTCAGTCAAAAATAGCCGATGTGAATGCACGGGCTCCCTTTGATGTCAAGGTGCTTTTAAGTTCAGAAACGCCACACACGCCGTTACAGGGCGAAACAAAATGTAAATCAGCAAAGCAGGTTCAAATCCATCACCAGCGCAAGTAGGTGCAGTTCCTCTGAGACCATCTGTTTATTTCCACCACTTATCTCAGATTGGAAAATAGCTCAGTCCTCACTCCTAATAACTGGCAGCCGAGGCTGAAAACTCCCTGCAATGTCATCTGCGGGGAAGAGAGAAGGCAGCTGGCAACATTGCGTGCTTTTGTTTATTTAATATGATTTTGGAATACAACATAAAGTTTCTTCTGGGTAATATCTGCAGCCAAGATGCATGCAGCTGGGCAGTAGTAAAAAGTACTGATGTTCTGAAAGCGTAGGATTTTATCATACATATGGTAAGCACCGTTGCCAGTCTCGTGTCTCAGAGACCCAAATGTTCCAGAATTTTAAACTGATTAAAATGCTAGTGCTTTCATTTCTGGGGTTTTTTTGAGCTGTCAGAGCTCAAAGAATCTACAAAATGTTTTAATGAAATACTTCAAATATACAAATTTAACATGAAGTTCAGTGAAAACTCATTTCAGTTGGCTCAGTGGACATCTTGCAGGCAATGCAGACACGAAGCAGCAGGTTTTGGAAGAGCCTTGCAGATTTTTCGCTCGACTTACCCGTTTGTAGCAGATGTCATTCGTTTGGGATTTTATCAACCAAGTTTTGCAGGGCTCAGCTCCGAGCGCGTCTACGCTGGGATCGCTCTGCCCTCTTGTGGGTTCTGCAGCACTGCGACACATTTGTCCCCTGCGTGAGGAGACTCACGGCTTTTCAAGCTTCGTGGACCCCATTTTCCATTGCAAAGTGGCTTTAAGTTGCGCTCGTCCCATTTCGCCTCTGTTTTGCAGGAAATTAAGCGGCGGAATTGTCAGTTGGCCATAAGTACGGGTTGTAGGTGGAAAAGTTGGAAAGCCTGTAGCGGCTTTGTCAAGTGAGAGGGAATTTTTTAGGCTTTATCAGTAGAAAAGCGAAGCAGCCCCGGTTATGTGCGTGTAGCTGTGACGGGGAGTCGGTAGAAGCTGTGCGTGAGGGGAGAGAGGTTTTCATCCCTTGATAATTGCAGTAAATGAACAAACCAGTGGCAACCCATTACCCGTTCATGCTCATAATCTAGATGCAAAAAAAAACCCCAACCTATCAGTTTTATTTTGTTTGAAGGTCTGAAAAACTCAACTTTCTGACTGTGTATCTAAATGTGTTCTTTAATTGCCTGGGAATGATTTTTCCAGTAATTACAGAGGTAGCACTTTTTATTCAGTTCAGACCCAGTTAAAATTAAAGTTTTGGACTAGATGATCTTTTGAGGTCCCTTCCAATCCCTAACGTTCTGTAAGAGAAGAACCATTAGTATGTGATTAATGTACTCAACTTCATTTCCTTTACATTGGCTGTATTGTACTCCAACCAGTGCATTACAATAGGAGGGCATTCATGTGGAGAATCACTTAATGACACGCATGATAAGTGATCATTCCCTGATTTAGAAATTGGATGGAAGTAGTTTAACTGAGATAATGAAATGATCTTTTTAAATTATTCTGACGTGCCTTTATCTTTCTTTCCTTCTTGAAGACATGACAATGGATGAAGTCCGAGAGTTTGAACGAGCAACTCAGGAAGCTACCAACAAGAAGATCGGGGTTTTCCCACCTGCAATATCTATCTCTAACATTTCCATGCCTTCTTCAACCCGCAGTGCTCCATCCAGTGCTCCCTCAACTCCTCTCTCCACAGATGCTCCTGAATTCCTAACAGTTCCCAAAGACCGGCCTCGGAAAAAGTCTGCTCCAGAAACTCTCACTCTTCCAGATCCAGCGAAAAAACCCCTTTAAATTAACCCAGCATGTTTCCTCCTGATAAGCCATGTCTACCGCAGCAAGAGTGATGTAACTCAGTTTCTACAAAGGTCATGGTGGTTTGTTGGTTGTTTCTTTTGCTTAAAATAATCTTACTGGTGTGGAAAGATTACTTTTTTCCTCAGACTTGTTCTTAAAACCTTCAGAGAAGTGCATGCAAGAGAAGGTAGTTTATATATTCCTCAAGTAGTGTTTCAAGCCATATGGTGCATCTTACTGACATAGAATGACAGAGTCTGAGGGGAACCCTGTAAAAGAAAATAAATCCTTCTGTAGCAGTATTCTACCTACAAATCCTCATCTAGGTCATAGCATTTATAATTAGGAGTAGGTGTTTAGTAAAGCTGCCAAGGACTTCTGAGGCAAATTAGTGCCAACTAGAATTCAGGGTTAACAGGAAATAAACCCACCCATTGTCTTCTTTTATAGCCAATTTTAAAATCTTTCCTACTCTCAGGCTTCTCCCGTGTATTCACAAGCCTTTGACGGTAACTCGTTGTACTTGAACACCAACAGCAATCACTCAGATTCACATTTTGCTTCATATGACTCAGGATTTGGGGCCTAGATAACAAACTCAAAATTTTTCAAACCTAAAATACCGCTGTATTGAAGCTCCAGTTGTAATTAGTTCTACTGACTTTGAGGCCATTGAACTATTTCTATCTTGCACAGAATTTGTAAAAGGAACCACCTATTTCTTGTAGATAATGTATTTTAATAACTCCCCCCTGTCCTTTTGTGATCTCCTAAGTCCGTATTGGTGTTCATCAATGGCGTTCCATGTGTGAGATTGAAAAAAAGCAGCTAAATTGAGCCAGTTGAGAAGCAAAACCAATGAATTCTGTCTTTTCCTCACTCGAAGAAGAGTGGTAGTTACGCTGTTAAGACCTTGAATGTAAAGGAAAGATGAGACTCCTTTTTCTTTCCTGCCTCGCATCTTTCCTAAACAGCACAATCTCTGCTAACAGGAAGCTGGCTCCAGGCTTTACCATGGTCTAGGGAAGCAGTGAACAAAATCAAGCGTTGTAAAAAGCAAATGAATCACGGGGCCGCTGAGTCCCGTGTTGGGTGACGTTAAGGAAACAGAAGAGCTCTTCCTGGTCTGCGTGTGAAATCACTCTTCAATCTCAGGAATTTAAATGTAGAAGAGGATGTTTCCCGCTAGGGAAGTGTGGGTTGTGGAAGGAGGAGAAAAATAGATGGCAGAAGTGGTCTCTTCCTTCCTTCCTTTTCAAAATGTAAGCTCAGTGAGAAGCTTTCCCCGCTGAGCCCCATTTGGGGTACTTTGTTCTCTTTCATACCAGTTGCTCTTTAATGACTGCTGTCAGTGTCTGTCTCTGTGGGCAGCTGTAGTAGACGTTAAACAAGCGCTGCTCAATTCCCAGTGAATGACAGCTGTTACCTGAATCGTACAATCAGTGTGGGTGATATTCGGTACCACTGGTGACATGGTACACGGATTTTTTAAAAAAGAGAGTCCTCCAGAGCTGAACTATCACTGACTATTGAACAATCATTTTGGGGGTGGCCTGTTACCTGGAAGGGACGTTTGTGCCATCTTCTCAGCACAGTGCTGTGACTGGACTGGCTGAAATGCACTGAACTTCTCAATGGCTGTAGATCCAGTAGAAGTTATGTTGAATGTGTGATATTTATAGTGTAGTTTTAGTAGCAGGACAGGTAATTTCATTGCCAACCTGCACTGAAAACAAGTGTATATTTGTTTGATAGTTAAAACCCTGTAGCTAGCGAAATCTGGGAGCTCTTGGTAGGTGAGCTGTGGTCTGACTCCTGCATTCTCCCACTTCCTCTCCATGTTTTCCTTTGCTTTTCTTCTCAGAGCTCGTGATTCTGCGTGATTAGTAAACTAACGGGTGATGACTTTTTGGTGAAAGAGAAGCCGCTGCAGTGATGCAAACACAACTTTCCTACATCAGTTTAGGATTCCAGCTTAAAAACTGTGCAGAAGTATTTGTTATTATAACTGGTCTAATCTTTCTATTATTATTATTTATGTAATAGTAAGATTGGAACATTGGCAGAGAAGGGAAACCTTTGAAAACATAAAAGATTGTTTGGTTGTTTTTTCATTTCCTGATTTGACCTGCATAGAAATAGTTTAGGTTTCCTATTTTTCAACTAAGTTTTAGCTTGTCAAAGAAAAATTTGGTCAGCTATAGTCATAATGTCCTTGTGCTTGCATATTATTTCTATATACGTTTTGGCATCTGGGTTTGACAGAGATTATCAGACCAAAGCAGTCGTACCTTTACTCTTACTCAGCTGATTGATTTCCAATCCCACATGGATTCATTGGTTATAGTATTAAGTAGGTTTGGAGATAAGACATGTCTGAAAACTATTAACATACCTGAAAAGGACACAGCTCTTAAGCTGCATGGCAGAGGTGGAGGAGGAAGACACTGACCACGTCACTGAAGAAATGACTGCTCAGCGCTGTGTCTCCATCTACGCGTGCTGCTGCCGTAGCCCTTCCACCGAGCAGCGCTGTCCTCGAGGAGCACCACGGGTATTGACCGAAGAGCTCGAGTTCACTGTTGGCCACAGCAAGGATCACCCTCAGCCACATCGCCTCCGTGCTGCTTCCTAACAAAGGCAAATAAAAACATCTGCGGCTTTCATTGCTTTGGGTAAGAAACACCCCAGGCTTTTCACTGCCTGTGTAAGTACCCTCTGCTGTGTTCTGCCTTGCTTTCCCCACGTCACCACCCATTTGGACGAGATGATCTTTAAATATCTTTTGCTGTTTGGTTGCTTTTAGTTTGTTTGTTTTTTGAGGTAGGATAACTTTCTCTAGAATATTCCCAGCAAGCACTTAAACCCACACAAAATTAAATGAGAAGGAAGGTCTGAATACTTCAGTGTAACATCTTGAGGCAAAGAGGTTGTTTTCATTACTGATTTTTGTCACAGTGCTTTCTGTTGTACTTTCAAACCTGTTTACTAGAAGAAAAATAGCATTGTGCAGGTGCCCATCACTTCTTTTGCAAAAATAAATGATGTGATTATTTAGTGAGTACATCCTTAGAGTGCGGTGCCAAACAGCAACGCTGAATAGGCACAATAGCTGCGTCCCTGTTCTCTGCCACGGTGGCTGAAGGATTGCATCATGCAGCTCTGCTAGGGCTTCACAAGGAGGTTTTCATCAAGGAGAATGCAGTTCGGAGCAAATAACGTGATTAGTTCGTTTGGGTTTCTGTTCAAACCTTCTCCCAGCTTTGCTTGTACTTTTAACGCATTTCATATAGGACAATCCTTACAAAATAACTGGCAATTCAGTGCAGGCTTTAGAAGGGTAGATCTGAAAAATTAAAAAAGGGAGGTATCCATAAAGACTATGAGGCGCAGCACATTCCTGAAACACGTACTTAATGGGATTTCTTATGAATGTAATGGGGAATTTTGTAAATGACTGGATAAATCCTATGGAAAGAAACTATTTGACCTTATTCTTTGGCTTTTTTGATTATTCTGGAAGGTGATTTTGTGACATCTAGTAGCCAATTCGCATTAATTGCTGCTGTAGAGATTTTGAAACGGAAATATTTGTTCCTTGGATTTTAGTTTGTAACAAGACCGCTGTATTTTGTTAAAACTGCTTAGAAGCTGGCTGCACCATAACTTCAAAACAAGGTGTTATCATTTGAAATAAGCCAACTGTATATGCTTTTTATGAATTAGTGAGTGCAGTAAGAGAGAACTCATGATCTTGTCAATAGGAGCTTCTCTGTTTCCATTGTTTGGACTTGGGTTTCTATGTGTAAGTTAAAATTGCTAAATAAGTCTAACAATGTTTTGCTTTAAATGAACAGCATGGTCATTGAATTATGATCTCCTGTAGTTTTGTGGTGTCACTCAAACAGGTTTCATTGGTTTCTTTCATTTGTGTGATAATTCCACGTGACTCTGAATGTCCAGTAGTTCATTTATTTTCCTTAGAGCAGTGGTGGCTGCATTAGGCAGTACATCACTACCACCCACGAAGGACCAAGTTTTGAAATGCTCTGCATGTTAAATAATGCAAGGCTCAGCAGGAGAATTCGATTGTCATATTTCTCATTCATATCACGTAGTTTCTGATTTTTTCCAAGTTATTTATTATTTTTAATATTGTATTTTTCCTTGCATTTTGTTGTAAATAAACTACCAACAATTATTCTTTACAGTCGCGGCTGTTTTCTTTTACTGGGTCTTCTCTAGCAAGGAACGCAGCCATTAACATTTCGAAGTCTCTTCCTGAAAATCAAATAGCACAAAGAATTGGCTTGGTAAGGAAAATTTAAACCACTTCCAGCATCTACTGGGTTTTGTTGTGCCTCAGCTTTCTCAAGATTTTATCGGGGCAGGTGCCCCATCCTTCTGGTGTTGGCCCATTCATTTGTAAATGACCACTTCCTTGACAAGGAACTTTTTCAGTAGGGAACCTAATTCCCTATGCAGGGTTTGGCAGCCCAGTGTTGTTGTAAATACTGCAAAAAAAGAGCACTCGAAACCTCTCAGACTTGTCTACAAGTCACTTCATTTTAGTCAACAGAAATTTCACATGTACAATGATTCTTTAAGCTTTTACATGGAGGCTTACTCATAGAAATAAAGCTTTCTCTGCACCAGAAAAGTGGCAGTCACTCGTTCAGTAGAGAAATCACAGAATCACAGAATATGAGGAGTTGGAAGGGACCTGGAAAGCTCCCCCAGTGCAACCCCTGCCAGAGCAGGATCACCAGAGCAGTCACACAGGAACACGGCCAGGGCTTTGGGTGTCTCCAGACAAGGAGACTCCACAACCTCTCTGGGCAGCCTGGGCCATGCTCCATAACCCTCACACTCACAAACTTTGTCCTCATCTTCAGCTTGAGCCTCCTGTGCTCCAGCTTGGGACCATTGCCCCTTGTCCTGGCATTGGCCATCCCAGAGCAGAGCCTGGCTCCTTCCTCCTGACACTGCCCTTTCCC